TATGGCCGCCGCCTTCAGACACCTCCTGAGATGGCAGCTTTTTAACCCACGGCTTGAGCTTCACAACCCTTCAGAGAGGGGACGTGGAGAGGAACTCCATTTTCTGATGAGAAAACAGCAGTTTAAAGAGGGGGACAAAGGTCTCCAGGCCTGGCAGGCAGCAGCTAAGGGGCTAGAATCCAAATCTCGTGATTAATGACCTAATACCTTTTCCACCATATCAAGCTGCTTTGCTAATGCAAAGCGAAATTTCCAAGTTTCCCACCACGTTTACCATATGTGAGCCTCAAAACAAATGCAGCTCAGCTGCAAAGATAACCGTCATGCGGTGAGACCCAGCAAAGGGTAAGTGCTTTTCTTTTCTGAGACAGAGTCTCGCTCTGTTGGCCAGGCTGGAGTGCAACGGTGTGGTCTTGGCTCACTGCAAGCTTCATTTGCCAAGTTCAAGTGATTCTCCTGCCTCAGCCTCCCGAGGAGCTGGGATTACAGGTGCCTGCCACCACTCCAACTAATTTTTTATGTTATTTTATTTTTAGGAGAGATGGGGTTTCACCATGTTGGTCAGACTGGTCTAGAACTCCTGACCTTGTGATCAGCCCGCCTTGGCCTCCCAAAGTGATGGGAATACAGGCATAAGTCACCGCGCCTGGCCAGTTCTTTACTTTGCAAGTGCATAAACTTTCAAGACACCATAATATCACTATTAAAATATGTTAATTAAATATTCTAAAAGCAAAGAATGCACACGCCTCTGAGTAACGAGCAAATCCCGTCGTGTCTGGAAAACGTGTCTGCATGGTGTTCCTTTCCGTAGAAGCTCAGTGCATGCAAGTGGCAGAAATACGTGGAAAAAGGAACACGTTCTTTTAAACATGGGCCACTGGAACAGCTAAGGCTTTTCTTATTTGGTTCTTACCTTAAAACCATCTTATCACCAAGTTGTGAATGTAAATTTTGTGCCTAAGTGTCCCTAACCACATGGCCTTAAAGGTGATCTGGCTTATTCTATGTAACTTGTAAGGCTGAAATAACAGAGAGAACACATTTCTACCCTGTAATCAGACACTATACCTTTTCAAAAAGTATCTACAGCTGGGTGTGGTGGCTCACACCTGTAATCCCAGCACTTTGGGAGGCTGAGGCAGGTGGTTCACCCGAGGTCAGGAGTTTGAGACCAGCCTGGCCAACATGGTGAAACCCTGTCTCTACTAAAAATACAAAAATTAGCCAGGCGTGGTGGTGCACACCTGTAGTCCCAGCTACTTGGGAGGCTGAGGCAGAAGAATCGCTTGAACCTGGGAGGTGGAGATTGCAGTGAGCTGAGATCGTGCCACTGCACTCCAGCCGGGGCAATAAGAGCGAAACTCTGTCTCAAAAAAAAGAAAAGAAAAAAGAAAAAGAAAAATGTACTCTATGCCAAGCTACCAAAAGCAAATAGAAACAGAGACCCTTAAGTTCCAAAAAAGCAGAAATCAGGCCACAGCCTCCAACTGCAGTGTGACAAAATTAGTGTAAACATTAAACAAAAACACTGGCTACTTGGAATTTAAGACACTCGCCCTATTTGCCATTAACACTCTATCTGGCTAGGCACAGTGGCTCACACCTGTAATCCCAGCACTTTGGGAGGCCGAGGAGGGCAGATCACGAGGTCAGGAGTTTGAGACCAGCCTGACCAACATGGTGAAACGCCATCTCTACTAAAAATACAAAAATTAGCTGGGCATGGTGGCACGTGCCTGTAATCCCAGCTGCTCAGGAGGCTGAGACAGGAGAATTGCTTGAACCTGGGAGGCGGAGGTTGCAGTGAGCCGAGATCGCATCACTGCAGCCCAGCCTGGATGATAGAGAAAGACTCTGTTTCAAAAAAAAGAGAAAGCAATATACATATATATCTCCATTCACACACAGAAACTAACAGAGCAAAAAAAGAGAAAAAAAATTGGCATATTTCAAATGTATTTATAATAAGGAAATAAATACTTTAATTAATATGTGTGTGTGCGTTTTTAAAAAGACCACTTAGGCCAGGTGCAGTGGTTCAAGCTTGTAGTCCCGGCACTATGACAGGCCAAGGCGGGAGGATGCCTTGAGCCCAGGAGTTTCAGACAAGCCTGAACAACATAGCAAGACCCTGTCTCTGAAAAAAGTACAAAAATTAGCCAGGCACGGTGGCATGTGCCTGTGGCCCCAGCTGCCTGGGAGGCTGAGGTGGAAGGGTCACCTAAGCCCAGCAGATCAAGGCTGCAGAAAGCCACGATCATGTCCCTGCACTCCAGCCTGGGTGACAGCAAGACCCTGTCTCAAAAGTAAATCAGTAAATAAAATTTAAAAGACTGCTTAAAGATGACTACATAAATATTTATTTAGGTTTTTTTTTTCCTCACTCTGCTGCCCAGACCAGAGTACAGTGGTGCCATCTCAGCCACTGCAACCTCCATTTCCCAGACTCAAGGAATCTTCCCACCTCAGCCTCCCAAGTAGCTGGGACCACAGGCATATGCCACTACACGGGGCTAATTTTTGTATTTTTGGTAGTGACGGGGTTTCACCAGGTTGCCCAGGCTGGTCTTAAAGTCTTGGGCTGAAGCAATCCAACCCCTTCAGCCTCACAAAGCGCTGGGATCACAGGCATGAGCCACTGCGCCCAGCCTACTTAAATATTTCTTACAAAAACAGACTCTCCAAAACAGCACGAAAGAGAAAGAACACTGGTCACCAATTTCTAAAGAGTAAGATGTCCTGGCAAAAACAGATTCTTCACCCTTTACCGCGATGAGGATTATCTTTAAAGTTTCTTTTTTATACTCTGGTATGAAAATCAGGTTCATGGATCCAGCGTGTCTTGTTCAGCACTGGGGACAGTAGCTCACAGCAGCTACTCAGTAAATAGTTCTGGAATGACTGCATTAAATATATATACATATATAAAGAGATTGGCTAAATATGATTGTATCTAAACACAATGGGATATGATATAGACATTTCAAATGAGTCATAAATATTTTTCACATAGAAGGATTCTCCATAACCTAGTCAATAAAGCAAGTTACAAAATAGCTTATAAAGAAGACACAGATTTTCTCTTTCTTCTCTCTCTCATACTCCCCCTCTCGCACATAACTTTTAAAACTCTGTTCACAAGTTTGACAAACATGAGCTAGGGAAAACCACCACAGTGTTTGACGACTGTGACAGGTCTCTTATTTTATGTCTAAGACGTCAGACACGGGCCTGGAGCGGTGGCTTACACCTGTACCCCCAGCACCTTTTTTTTTTTTTTTTTTTTTTTGAGGCAGAGTCTTGCTCTGTTGCCAGGCTGGAGTACAGTGGTCCAATCTTGGCTCATGGCAACCTCTGCCTCCCAGGTTCAAGTGATTCCCCTGGCTCAGCCTCCCAAGTAACTGGGACTACGGGCCCACACCACCACGCTCAGCTAATTTTCGTATTTTTAGTAGAGACAGGATTTCACCGTATTGGCCAGGATGGTCTCGATCTCTTGACCTCATGATCTGCCCGCCTCAGCCTCCCAAAGTGCTGGGATTACAGACGTGAGCCACTCATTGTGACCGGCCTATCTCAGCACTTTGGGAGGCTGAGGTGGGTGATTCACCTGAGGTCAAGAGTTTGAGACCAGCCTAGCCAATATGGCAAAATCCCATGTCTACTAAATATACAAAAATGAGTTGGGTGTGGTGGTGGGTGCCTGCAGTCCCAGCTACTCAAGAGGCTGAGGCAGCAGAATCGCTTGAACCAGGGAGGCAGGAGGTTGCAGTGAGCCAAGATCACGCCACTGCACTCCAGCCTGGGTGACAAGAGTGAAACTACATCTCAAAAAAAAAAAAAAAAAAAAAAAAAAAAAAAAAAAGAGGTAAAAGAAAACATTTTTTCTACTGTCAATTAATTAATTAATTTATTTTTTTTTTTTTGAGATGGAGTCTTGCCCTGTCATGCAGACTGGAGAGCAGTGGCACAATCTCAGCTCACTGAAACCTTCACCTCCTTCTCCTGCCTCAGCCTCTTGAGGAGCACGGATTACAGGTGTTTGGCACCACACCTGGCTAATTTTTATATTTTTTTGTAGAGATGGGGTTTCACCATGTTGGCCAGGCTGGTCTCAAACTCCTGGCCTCAAGCGATCTTCCCACCTCAGCCTCCCAAAGTGCTGGGATTACAGAAGTGAGAGGCCATGCCCTGCCTGCCAACAGGCCATCATCGGCCCCACTGTCCCTGGTCTCTCATGGATGGTGACCACACAAATCCGTATCATCTGGCCTGTATCTTCAGCCTATCCCTGGCATGTTCTGTCATGGGCCTTTCTCAACAAGCCATCTGCTTAATATTCAAATCACAATGAAAACGGCTCTGTACCAGTCAGTGTGGACGTCCCAAGTGTCTGCTAGGCACTCACATTAACTCGAAGTTAGTTATCAAGTTTTAAACTTATAACATTAATTTAAAACATGCCTGCTATGAAACAATGGAGTTCCTGGCAAAACCGACACAGTAACTCAGAACCTAAAAGTGAATTGTAGGCCGGGCGGAGTGGCTCACGCCCGTAATCCCAGCACTTTGGGAGGCCGAGGCAGGTGGATCACGAGGTCAGGAGTTCAAGATCAGCTTGGCCAACATGGTGAAACCACATCTCTACTAAAACTACAAAAATTAGCCAGGTGCATTGGCAGGCACCTGTAATCCCTGCTACTGAGGAGGCTGAGGCAGGAGAATCACTTGAATACGGGTGGCAGAGGTTGCAGTGAGCCAAGATTGTGCCACTGCCCTCCAGCCGGGGCAACAGAGGGAGACTCCATCTCAAAAAAAAAAAAAAAGAAAGAAAGAAAGAAAAAGAAAAAAAAATGTGAATCCATGCACATGTATCTGACCTTGCATCCCGAAGTAATAATAATTAACCTCCACATTGCTGGTCTGTAGCACAACAGAAGTAAACACTAAACACACTTAAATACTTCCACCTGGAATCAGTAAATCACACTATTTACCTGTGGTGACGACTTCTCCGTTCTGAGCTTGTCTTGCCACAAACTGTGAGTCCACAGAGCAGGCAGGGACCCGAGCTTCAGCCTGGCAGTAAGAAGATGGAGGAGGAAGTGATTACGATATGTTCTCTGGATGCCCCCAACTCTCCACCACCTTGGAAGAAGAAAGTCACCCTGCCCCTGCCCCGCAACCACACAGGTGTCGCACGGTCCTTCCCAGGAAAACCCGTGCCTTGCCCCGACCCAGTTCCCCGGGGCACCCTTATCCCAAGCAGGCTGGGAGAGGAGGGGCCTCCCTGGTTTCCTGGGGTGGGGAGGGGGAGTCGGTGGGGCAGCTGGGGCCGAGGTGGGCGTCCAGCCCCGGAGAGTCCCAGGAAGCCACTGGTGGTTAGACAACTGAGGGTTTTTCTTGGAAAGAATCCTGGCACTTGGAGCACCCTTGCTCTCGTTTAACTTTTAAACCAGGCTTCAGAAACGCACAGGCGCGCAGCTGTGCCCTGGTAGTTGGGGTGGAAGAGGGGGCAGAGCCGACCTTCCTGACTCCCAGCGGCACCACCCAGCGCCCCTGCGGCTTCACCCGCACCACGCGGGCCGCGCAGCCCAGGACTCCGGAAAGACCTGGGAATGCCCGCGCCAGACCCGCAGCGGCCCCCACCGGGAGCGACGAGGCGCGGCTTCCGCAGAGAAGCCACCCGGCCGAGCGCAGCCTGTCCGGGCTGCCGGGGGTCACCCCGCCGCGTTGGGGCATTAAGCGGGAAGCGTTCCTCAAAGGCGGTCACAGCCGGAGGAACCAACACGCGCGCCTCGGTCCGGCGGCAGCCGCCAGGCGCACCCACCCAGGGTCGGTCTGTCCGGGCCCGGGTTTCCTCGCCTCAGGGACCCCTGGGGGTCTTGGGAAGCCACGGCGCCGAGGGATGGGCAAGCCCCGATGTCCCCGCCCGAGGGCCTCCCTCCCTAGGGACAAGCCGAAGACCCAGAGTCGCTGCGGTCGCCAGACCCGACCTCCGCGCAGCGCCAAGCCCCATGGACGGCCGCGGACTCTGGGGTTCCGGGCAGGCCCCCGGCGCTAGGAGGGAGGCCGAGCAGGGCCCCGGGACCCCTTGCACGAGTCCTCGGCGTGTGTCCTCGCCCCTCGCCCTCAGGTCTCCGGCCGCGCACTCTGACCCGGGGTCCCCGGGCCCCCGAGACCTCGAGACCCCGGGCCCCGCGCATGCGCCGCCCAGCCCTGCCCCTCCCCCGTCTGCCGCCGTCTGGGTCCCGGGACTGGGGAAGCCCGGCCCGCGGACCCCCGCGCGCGCCCGCCCGCCCCCGGGCACCTGGACCGCTGTCCGCCGCCTGCCGGTCCGTGGGGCGAGCGCCGAAGGAGGCGGCGCCGGGCAGGGCGCTAGCGGCCGCCTCCGCCCCCGCCGCCCGCTGCCCCTGCCGCGGGGCCGCCGCGTCCACGGCCCATGCCCGGCGCCGCCTCCGCGCGTCCGTGCCAGCCGCGCCCCTGCGACACGCGCCGCCCCTCGGCCCGCCCCGGTCCGCGCGGGCTCCTGTCCCCGGGCCCGACCCGGAAGCCCCGCCCGCCCCGCGCGCCCTCGGGCGCCCCGGCCCCGGCCCCGGGACACACCCCCCGGACGGCGGCGGCCGATTGGCTGCTCGCGGGGGCGGGGCCCCGGGAGCGCTCGGCTGCTCCCACCTAGAGCCTCGCGTCCGCTGCAACCTGGGGAAACTGAGGCCGGATAGGTGGAGGAGCCCTCCAAGGTCACCGCCGGGACACCGCTGAGCGTGGGCGCCCCTGCGGCCCCGCGCACCCGGATGGGGCTGAATTCGAGGAGGGGACGCGCGGCCGCGGAGCGGGTGGAGGTTCCCGCTGAGCGCCCGTGCCACGCTGGCGAGTCCCTCCTGCCTCCTCCGGGAGCCGGGCTCCGCCGTTCGGTGCGATGAGCCGGTCTAGACCCGGGACTGGGTGCCCTTGAGCCTCCAAAGTGCGTGGGGTGGGAGGCGGGCCGGGAAGGACCTTGTCCCTGGAACCCCAGGATGCAAAATAAGGGGAAGGGGAAGGCGAGCTGGGAGGACGAGGAAACAGGTGGCAGGAGGTGCCAGGGCGGTGTGGCGGGCGGGGGAACGAGGAGGGTGAAGGGCAACGCGGACGGGCTCGGGGAGGCGCCGCTAGCTCCGACCCCACATCCCCACCCACCTCCCGTGGCCCGAGAGCCATGCGCGCCCCCTACTCCGCGCCCTGGGGGGTGACGAGGGGCTGACTTTGTGCCCACGGCGAGGCGCTGGGACTCTGCCAGGGCAGGGGGAGGTCGCGGCCCGGCGGCCAATGGCGAGGAGTAGGAGAGCGCCCTGCAAAGCTGCTTTGTTCGCGCTGTGACGCCCGAGCTCTCTGCGCGGAATGCACAAAGCCCCTGGGTGCCGGCACGTCAGGGCGCCCCTCCTCGGGAACGAAATGTGTGCTATGCCAGCCCCACTGCCAGCTGCGCCTGCCACTGTGCTATTTGTGGCAACGGGCGCCCAGGAGGACCCACTCCGGAAAGGAAACGCAAATCTCATTAGGCAGGGGAACTGGAGACCAGGCAGGAACTGGCCCTTGCACAGACTTCTCTTAAACTCACCCCTGTTGATTAGCCAGGCAACTATGGTGAACTTTGCCCCACCCTCCAGACCCTCCCACATATCCTTCCCGCTGGCACATGGCAGGCTCAGCTTTTCTTGCACACGCTAGCCACCAATAGCACAGATTCATGTTATGTTTTCAGTTTACAGAGTGATCCATACAGTTAATATCCTGGATATCTTGCGGGGTGTGCAGGCAGCCACATCCAAGCTTGTCATCCTGTTGCGCTTGGTGAGGGAAGCTGACCCTCGGCTGCCCATGCAGAGCTCCGGGGCTGCATCCTCATGAGGACCTCTGGGCTCAAGGACATTACGTGGCATACCCACATCCCAGGCTCTCAAGAACCAGGGTCCACACAGCTGTGTTGGCTTCTTCTCCCAAATGCAACATCCAGGTCAACCAGGTGTTGAAAGACCTGGTGTACCTCGTCATGAACAAGCCCAAAGACTGTGTGGGGCTCTGCAGAGCGGTCGTGAACACTCAGTGGACACAGAAAAGACGATATTCCTGGGTTCTTGGGGCTCCCAAGGTTTTAGGAAAACTTATTTTTCATCCGTGTGTCCCAGAAATAAGCATTTTCAATCAAATGCTCTCAGCCAGTCTCCCGCAGACGCCCTGGGGTAGAAGCAAGTTCAGGACTCTTCTCTTGGGAGCATCCTGGCCAGAAACAGCCCCTATCTACTGCCTCCCGGGGCTGGCAGGTTTCTTTTGGGAAACCATGCTCACATGAGAGAGGTGAAGCAATTTTCTGTTGCCCACGAAGACCTTGTCACACACCCAGCATGGGAGCCACTGTCACAAAGGGCACACCCCACCCCCACCCCCACCCCCACCCCCAGCTCCAGGAAGCCTCTCTTTACCTTCTCCGGTGCTGATGAGATGAGGGCCACACGACGGAACAGAAATGCCGCTGGTGCAGGGACTGAGTAGAAATCTGTACTTGGAGGGCAAATCAGCGCTCTTGAAAATGTCTCTGAGCATGCCCCGAGTTTCCTCTTTGGAGCCTAGTGACTGCTGAGAGCACCTGTCTGGTGCACGGGGATCTCAGTTCATAGCTTCCATTTAAGTGGTGACAATGCTATCTCAGGTCCCTTTTGACATTTTCTGGTCTTGAAGATGTTCTGAGGGTAATTCTTATTGTGCCCACATTACGAGAAGGAGACTGAGGCACTGGGTCCCCCAGGCCAGTGGCAGGGCGCAGGACGGAAGGCAGGTCTGTAAAGCCCACAGCTGCCCTGCTGAGCCACTCACTCCTGCAAGTGTGGACCTGCCAGCCAGCCAGAGAAGCCCAGGCTCTCCCACGGTCTCGGGGAAGCAACTGGGAAGCTGGGAATTCAGACGGGAAGCGGTTGCTGGAGGAGGCAACCTGGAGTGGTAGGGCTTGGCCACTGAGTACTAGGCAGCAGTTAGACCCTGAGCGCTGGGAGCAGGTGAAGACAGTCATCTGTGTTCAGGGACCCAAGTGCTTTCCCTGATCCTGCCAGGGTGAAGCTTCTCCCACGGGCCTGGGGTCCAGGCTGGAGTCTGTTTGCCATCCAGGGCCGGCAAAGGTTGCTGCTGGCTTGCCCTCTGCTGATGTGCAAATCCCTCTGTCAAGGAGGCGTGTGCTTCCAGGGTGTCATCCGCCAGGGCAGTGGCCTCTGAGCTCCTGGAAGCACGCCTGCAGGTCAGGTGGTGGAAGTCCACCAGGGCAGAGGCTGTGGGCCGAGAAAGGGAGGGCTCATTGTCAGCGAGCAGGGAGCTGCTTGGTGACCAGAGGCTGGACCTCGTCGGTGAGGGCCAACCATGGGTATGTCCTTGGTTGCCATCCTGGTACTGACCGCAAACCCCTATGGGTCCAAGGTAATGAAAGATTGTCACACTAGGGCACAGAACCCACAAGAGTCTCATAAGGTGGCTGTGCCTTCGCCATCTTACAGATGAGGAATGAAGGGCCAGGAAAGGCAGCACGTGGCCAAAGTCCCCAGCAGGGAGTGAGAACTCTCCCGACTCCCAGTCCATCAGCACCTGGTCTTGGGTACTCCTGGGGTTTGGCTGTCTGGGGCAGAAGCTGTCTGCTGACTGATATGGCAGCCTCTGGAAGTCTCAGGAGTCCAGGGTCAATGACAGGATTTCCCTGGTGGCTGGTCCTGGCCCAACAGCTCCATGAGGGTGGCAGCAGCATTGCAGAAGCCTGTGGCAGGAGAGAGGGGCCACGTTCAATGGGAGACGGTGTGGAGATGGCACAAGATGGGCAGAGCTGGGTAGGGCCCTGGCCAGGCAGGTCTTACGGCCCGGTGGGGAGTTAGGCTTTGGTCATAAGGGCCGCCGGACACCTCCCATGGAGGGTTGTCAGCAGGAGTGTGACTCCATCAGCTTAGCACCGAGTGCTGCATGCTACACGCTACACGTTAACCAGTGGTCACAGCTGGAGTGGGGAGGGGCTTAAGCGCCTATTCTAGCTTTGCAGGATCTGGAAGCTTCTGCAGGTCCAGAAACTGCTGCTGTCATGACACTCTACCCTTTTGATAATTAAGCGGTCTCCAGCTTTGCAGCAGGCCCCATTGGCCATGGCTCAGATGTCTGTCTCTGTAGATCTTGAGAAGGCCAGGGCAGCCCACCTGCAGCTGCACTGCCTCCCTTCTTTGCCCCTCCAAACGGACAGGTGCCCCCTCATCACACAGGATCCAGCTCCAGGGCTGGATGGCGGATGTCTTTCATCCAGTGCAGGGCACGGACAGGAAACTGTGGGACCCCTGACTGTGTCATTATAGGCACCGTGGGAGTCTCACTGCAAAGCATGATGTGTAGATAGATGAATTTTTTTCTCTTTTTCTTTCTTTTTCTTTTTTCTTTTTCTTTTTTTTTTTTTGAGATGGAGTTTCGCTCTTGTTACCCAGGCTGGAGTGCAATGGCGCGATCTCGGCTCACCGCAACCTCTGCCTCCTGGGTTCAGGCAATTCTCCTGCCTCAGCCTCCTGAGTAGCTGGGATTACAGGCACGCGCCACCACGCCCAGCTAATTTTTTGTATTTTTAGTAGAGACGGGGTTTCACCATGTTGACCAGGATGGTCTCGATCTCTTGACCTCGTGATCCACCCACCTCGGCCTCCCAAAGTGCTGGGATTACAGGCTTGAGCCACCGCGCCCGGCCTTTTTTCTTTCTTTTTCTTTTCCTTTCTTTCTCTCTTCTCTTTCTTTTCTCTTTCTCTCTTTTTTTTTGAGATGAAGTCTTGCTCTGCAATTGCTGGAGTGCAATGGGAAAATCTTGGCTCATTGTGACCTCCACCTCCCAGGTTCAAGCGACTCTCCTGCCTCAACCTCCTGACTAGCTAGGATTACAGGTGCCTACCACCACATCTGACTCATCTGTTGTATTTTTCATAGAGATGGGGTTTCACTGTGTTGACGAAGCTGGTCTTGAACTCCTGACCTCAGGTGATCTGCCCGCCTTGGCCTCCTAAAGTGCTGAGATTACAGGTGTGCTGCACCCAGCCAGATAGATTTGGTCCATAACGGGTGATCTGCTCTGCGTGGAGTTGGATTCTGCAGTGATCTGACCCAGCGGCCCGGTCGTGAGCAGCGCTGCTGCAGGCAGGGAAGGCTGGAACCGCGGACATGAGGCCTGGCGCGGCGGCCTGGAAACGCGCACAGCACCGCGCCACCGGGGCGCCACCCCTGCTTTCTCTCACGGATGAGTGAGCAGTGCCTGGGGTCTGGAGTTCAGCAGAACTGGATTCAAATCCTCCCGCACCTTTCCCTCACACTACAACCCCCAGCTGGCAATGCCTATCCAAGCCCCCTCATGTCTACAGTGGGGCAGGGAGGCCTGCCTCGGTGGGTCCCGGTTTGAGTTTGAGGAGGGAGTGTGGGGGTGGTACAGGGTGGGGCCGGGTGATCGGGTCATATTTGGGACATGGTAACCACCAGCTTGAGGGCTCTGCCAATGCTTGCTTCCTCCAGGAAGCCTGCTTGGCAACCCTCCCCCTGCCAAAGCTGCCCTCTGCTTTCTGTGGCCACCAGCTCCTGTGCTCTGAGTGGCTCTTGTCACATCCAGCACCTTCTTTACCGGGCCCACTGCCTAGTCCTGTCTGTCCACTCAGGACAGCTGACAGGCACCCTCACGCCTTGCAGCCACCAGCCCCAGTGCCTACGTGCCTCCTGCCTGCGATGCCCAGTCCCACCCCGTGATCTGCTCTGACCAGAGTCCTGACAGCCAGGAAAGGCAATCTGAACCAGAGCTTGTGCAGCTGAGTGCAGGGAGGCTGCCCTCTCGCATTGCTCTACCTCGGATCTCACTAAAATGTGGGATTGGCCATAGTCCCTCATCTCCTGAACAGACAGATCATGTTTGACAATTTTTTTGGGTCTGCAGCAAAGTGAAAAACAAAAACAAAAACAAAAACAAACCCCTGACACTGTGAAGTTTCCTCTAGAACTTCACATAGCTGATTTAAAGAAATAGCTTCGAGCCGGGTGCAGTGGCTCACGTCTGTAATCCCAGCACTTTGGGAGGCCGGGGAGCGGGGTGCGGATCACCTGAGGTCAGGAGTTTGAGAACAGCCTGGCCAACATGGTGAAACCCCGTCTCTACTAAAAAAACAAAAATTAGCCAGGTAGAGTGTCACTTGCCTGTAGTCCCAGCTACTTGAGAGGCTGAGGCAGGAGAATTGCTTGAACCTGGGAGGCAGAGGGTGCAGTGAGTGGACTATCAAACCAAGGCACTCCAGCCTGGGGGACAAAAGCAAAACTCTGCCTCAAAAAAAAGAAAGAAAGAAAGAAAGAAAGAAAGAGCGAGCTTGTTTTTCAGGCCAGGCACGGTGGCTCACACCTCTAATGCCAGCACTTTGGGAGGCAGAGGCAGGAGGATTGCTTGAAGCCAGGAGTTTTAGACCAGCCTGGGCAACATAGTGAGACCTCTTCTCTAAAAAAGGTAAAAAAAAAAAAAAAAAAAAAAAAAAAATGAACGTGGCTATGGCCGCAGCTCCTCAGGAGGCTGCAGTGGGAAGAGCACTTGGGCCTGGGAGGTCAAGGCTGCAATAAGCTGTGATCGCATCACTGTACTCAGGCCTGGGCCACGTGGAGAGACCCTGCCTCAAAGAGAAAAAAGAGAAATATCCCTTTCCTTTCCAAGACTATATCCTTATATTCTTTTTTTGTAGTTGAAAATACCTTTCCTTTGTGATAATTGCTTAGATGTAGTGCTAGTAACTGTTGCAGGGATTGGTTAGCTTTGAACTGGCAAAACCAAGGTATTGACAAACCACGTCTGTCCCCAGAGCTGTTGAAAATGGCACCCATCTGTAACAGCCCAAGGTCCAGGGGCCGCCCCCTCGCCCCTCGGATGTGCGTTATTGACTGAAACACACAGCACAAAAGGATTCCTGACATTTTCCAATCTTTCCGTGCCAGTCTTCTCCATTTTATTAGTGATATTTATTTTCAAGTCAACACATCGGTTTGTGTTGAGACTTGCAACGTTAGAATATAAAGTTCTACGTAAGGCCTGATTTTGATCTTTGACAAAGCCAAGGAGCAGGGTGTGGGCTACAACCTTCAGAGCCTGCAGGAGCTGCGCCCACACGGCCTTGGCTCGAACGCCATTGGACACCCTCCCAGGGGGCCCCAGACCCGGGGAAGAACCTCCCTTCTGCCTGGGAGCCTCAGGTGTGCAGAGGAGGGAGCTGGCTGGAGCCAGGTGTGTGAAGGCAATCAGTGTTTCTCTGCAAGGTGACGATGGCATGGGGCAGGCAGGGTTCTGGGATAGCTGGTGGGGAAGACAGGCTGGGGACTGTGAATTCACTGCTCCCCCTCTCCAGGTGGAGGCATTAAATTAGGTCAAAGCATCTTGGCGAGTATTCGCGCTGAATTGAGTTTTTAAAACAAGTCCAAATAAGTAGCTAGTGGGTGCTCAGTGGGCGCCAAGGACTGAGCTGGCTTTTCCAGGCAGGCCCCTTGCTTCTTTGCCCAGTGTCCCAGTGCTGACTTTCTCTCGGAGAACACGGTGGGCTCTGGGTGCCTGGGGAGTTGCCAGGACGTTTTCTCAGCTCTGCGCATTCCCCGGCTTCCTGGGACCTTGGAGTGCGCTGCAGGCGGGACTGGCCGTCTGCCCGGCCTGGCCTAGCTGCTGCTCACTCGGAGCTGCGTGCTCTCGGTCCCTCCGTCCCTGCTGGGCTAGGAGTCTGCCCTCGGTTTCCCACTAACCTTATTCTTCTAACTCCTTCTTTGTGTGCCTGCCTCCCTCATCACACCGGGAGAGGCTCCGGCAGAGTTCCCCCCCACCCGATGCGATGCGTGGCCTCAGCTCCCAGTTGGCAGAATCCTTCCTGCTGCAAAATGGCTCCAGCTTCCCGCTGCCTGCCCCTGGAGAGTCAGCCCTGAGCCCAGGCAGGCCAGGGGTGTGGCTGAGAAGCGTATGCAGCAGGCACCTGGAAGGCCGGCGACGCAGGCTGAGGAGCTGGGATTGTCCTACAGACAGTGGGCGACCAAAAAAAGGCGCTTGAGCCCCGGTGGGCTCAGACGCAGGGGACCTTCCCAGCCCCTGTCCTTACTCGCTCAGAGCCAGCAGGAGCAGCAGGAGCGGTGTCCTGAGACGCTGTTCTGTAAGGAACTCTGCACTGCTGCAGAGACACCGGTGTGTGGAGCGCGGTTGCCCTGACCGAGACAACTGTCTGAGTGCAAGTTCAAAAGCACCACTTCCGGGGCACAAGCCTGTCTCCTTCCTTTCCTTTTTTTGGGGGAAGGGGGGAGATTGGATCTTGCTCTGTCACCCAGGCTGGAGTACAATGGAACAGTCACAGCTCACTGCAGCTTCAAACTGCTGGGCTCAGGTAACCCTCCCGCCTCTGCCTCCTGAGTAGCTGGGACCACAGGTGTGCACCACCATGCCTGGCTAATTAAAATTATTATTACTATCATTTGTAGAGAGACTCCAGAAGGGATCCTGGTTATGTTGCCCAGGGTGGTCTTGAACTTCTAGCCTCCAGTGATCCTCTCACCTTGGCATGCAAAGCACGGGGATTATAGGCGCGAGCCGCTGTGTGTGGGAGGTCCGTTTTTTAAAGCATTTCTGTGGCAAGCACATGCAGGCAAGGCAGAGCAAAAGTGATCAAATCCGGCGAGTGTGCTGCTAGAGGGGAGCGTTGACAAGTGCACTTGGGTAATTCTGGAAGTTCTGAAGTCTTCCGCAGCGCCCTCAGACGGTGTTAGATTCAGGAAGTGGCAAACGAAACTGAAGACAGAGAAAGGACTCTAGGAAAATGCCCACGTGTTTCAGAAGGCAGACTCTGCCTCAGCTGTGAAGGTAGTCCATGGGTTCATCTGCTTCTGCAGCTGTTTTGTGAATAGCGAATCAGATTCTCCCTGTTATTCCTATGTCGAGGCTGAACCCACCTTTACGGGGCATCCGTGTGAGGGGAAGCTGGTGAGGCTGCCTGGGAAGCACCCGTCTGCGTCTCCCAGTGGACTCCCGGGGAGCACCCCCTCCCCCGCCTCCGCCCATCAGCACCTGAACTGTGGCCTCTTATACTCCTGTTGCCTCCCCCGTGGCTTGAACTACAAAACTTGCCACCCCTCCGTGGATTTCCCGGAGGAGTGATGAGCTCCGGGCTATGCTTGGCCACCAAACATGGACCATCTCTTCGATCACGGTGGGAAACGTCTCCTAGTCCCTCCTTTGATAATTCTATAACGATATGGGAAGACCGTGGGGGTGTCTGCTAGTTTGTCTGCTGGTTCTTACTCGAGGTGCCTTCTTCCCTTTCAGACTTAGATATCTTTGTGTGCTTCTGGGGGCCCTCGGAAGGGTGTCTGTGGGGTTTCTGTGAGGTCAAGGACAGAGGTTCCTTCTCACAAGGATTCACGTTTGCTTTGACATGGACAGCCCAGACCCCCTGAAACCAAATGCCCAGGGGGCTTCAGCATCTGTGGGCCTCCGGGTATGATGACTCGGGGTTCCAAGTCCCCACGAGCCCCATGCCCTGGGCTTCAGTCTGTGTTTCCTTCCCTCTTTCTCTCCCACTGCTTTTAATGCTAACGAATGCCTTCTAAATTGGAAAGGGAAGTTTTGGAGCAGCGGGTCAGGGTTATGTCTGCTTCAGTCTTTATTCAAGGCGAGGCCTTTCAGGCTCCCAGCTTGCTACGGGGCTGAGTCCCTCTCCGGCTCCTCATACCTTGACGTCTGTCTGCGCCCCCGCTCCCTCCAAGGCGGAAGCCCACCTTGCCAGGTCGGCAATGCTCGCGGGCGACAGCGGCCCCAGCGTTCCTCCCTGGGTTCTTGCTTATCCTGGAGCTTGGCCTGGACGTTTCTCACTAGCTTGGCAGCCGTTGGATGCTTTTAACATGATTTTGTTAAATTATTTTTTTATCCAAAATCCTTGCTTGTTTTCAGAGGGTAAGGGGGTCTGCCATTACTGCCGACAGAAGCTGGGACAGTTAATACAGTCACAGACATTTATTTTCCACATGCGGTCCCATCTTCTAGATGAGACAGATGTTCAACGGCTGGAGAACTGGATCCGTCTTTGTCCCCATCTTGCCGAGCAATAGGAGGTGGTCACTAAACAGGGGTTTTCAAGCCCGTTGCTTAAAGGCATTGTTGACCCAAAGGGAAGTGGGTCCCTGCTTCTCTTCCTGGGCAGAAGCGCAGGAGCCCAGGGGCCCTCCTGGCTTGGCTGCCTGCAGAGTGGCTGATGAAGCATCATCCTCCGTGTGCACAGGGCCTCCAGCCCCGCAAACAGCTGTTCCTCTGCCTGCTCCCAGCTGTGGACCTGAGGCAGAGAGGCTGAGCCATCGCCCTGAGCCACGTGCCCGGGCACAGCAGGCCTGGACCTGGTGCCTGGACCTGGCTCACATGACCTTGCTTTTTCCACTGTGCCTGCTGCTCCCTCCCGGGCTCTGTGACCTTGGGCAGCCGTGGCTGTCCTGCGCCCATTCCCAGCTGTAAAATGAGAGGCTGGGCTGGCTGATCTCAAATGTCCCCTGCCAGCCTGGGATTCTGCATTGTGCCCCAGGGTGTGATGATGACATGCCTCCGAAGGGAGCCGCCAGTGCTCCTGAGGGAGGCTTTCTTCCTGAGTCAAGGTGGGTGGGGGGATTGGGGGTAAGTTGGGGGACTGAGAGGTGGGGGAAGCACACACACCATCCTCCCCAGCTGAGCCCTCATGGTGAATTACCTTCAACCCCAGGCTCAGTGCTTTGGAAATGCTCTCAGGCCCAGCATCCAGGCCTGGAATGGCCTCCGAGCCCCTGGCCCTCCCTCTCTCTACTGGAATCTTCCAGGCTGAGGCAGGTCAGCTGAAAGTCACTGACTCTGCCTTCCACAAACCCATAGCTGACAGACCACTCCACGTCCCCTCCCAGCCCCGGCCGGGGAGGGGCATTTGCTCGGCCTTCCCGCCCTCAGGGCCGACACACTGTCAGTCACTCTCTGGGTCCCACCCACTGTCCCACCAACTTCGCTGGTCTAAAAATATGCTCTGGCATCTTGCTGGCAGGCAGCAGGAATGATGGGCCCTGCTGATAAGGTGAAGAGAGTTACCCGGTGGGACGATCTTCCATACGGGTCATGCTTTGGCAAAATAACACAACAGCGGGACGAACACCGGCTCCCCATGCATCCTCAAGGCCTTACGCCGGGAAGAGGACCCCTGGGCTTCGGGAAGTGAACACCAGGCCCAGGCCCCTCACCCAGTCCTTTCTGCCTGCTTTGGGAGGGAGCCCAAGAATTCGGCTAGGGAAGGGCCTCCTGGTGGGAACTGAAGCCCAACTGGAACTTTCTGGGGGGTTTCTTGGGGACAGGACCCCACGGAATCTTCTCTGGGTATCTAGAGCCAGGCTCAGGCCCAGAAGAAAGATGTGGGCAGCTGAGAGAAGCACTCTCTTCCCTTCCCCACAATTTTTCTTTTTTTTAGGCAGAGTCTCGCTCTGTCTCCCAGAACCTTGGCTTGCCGGATTCAAGTGATTCTTCTGCCTCAGCCTCCCAAGTAGCTGGGATTACAGGCACCCACCACCACACCTGGCTAATTGTTTTGTATTTTTAGTAGAGATGAGGTTTCACCATGTTGGCCAGGCTGGTCTTGAACTCCTGACCTCAAGTGATCAGCCAGCATTACTGGCGTGAGCCACTACGCCTGGCCCTTGTTCTGAGAGCCTGAGCTGGAGTCCTGGCTCTGCTGGGGGACCCCGCACGCATCAGCTCACCTCTTTGCGCCTCTGTTTTCCATGGGAAGAAGGTTACCTTTGGAAGGTCACTGTGAGGGTCAGAGGTTACAAAGGTCAATGGGGCCCATGTCAACAAGCTGTTGCCCTGGCTTTGGCCCTGCTCTGCCCACCCTGCCCTTTCCTTTCTCATTTTTCCACCTGCACAGCCCACCCCCTGGTCAACACCTGCACTGTTGACGGCTCAGTGGGCCTGGGCAGAGCCCCTGGGCCCAACACCTGGAGTCCGCCATGGTCACGTCTTCTCCTCTCTCTCTCTCTCGTTGTCTACTTCCATCCCACTGCTTTGCACTTGCTTTTCCTTCTGTAGGACATCCCCTCCCTTCACTTTTTCCTTTAAGGATTTACTTCAGGCACCACCTCCTCCAGGAAGGCCTCCCTGATCACTCCTTGGGTTGTGTTCCTCTTCCATACTCCTTTAGCCCCAGTGCCTCCTGCTGATTTCACTTTATTTGTTGACTAAGCCGTCTCCCTTGCTAGGCTGGAAGCTTCTTGGGAGTCTAGATATCATCTGAGGTGATTAGACGCAATAACTACAGGAATGATGGAACTACTACCCATTTAATAACCATTATAATAATTGATTCAGGCAAGAGTCATCTAAGGATGCATAAATTAGTGGGTGAAAGTTTGAGTAGCAGGATATTTACAAAGTCTCAAAGTATCACCCAACAAGATACTTACTAATGACAAAAGGAAACACAGTAACTTTTCAGCAGGGAAATCTGGCCAACTCTGTGTTTATCAAGCGATTGCCAGGAACGAAACAGACATCAACGCATACCTCCTGCTATGACACACTGAGAGCCTCCTGTCCTTTTGTGGTCTTCCTGCCAAGCATGGTAGCCGGGATCTCATCACGATAGCCTACAAAATAACTGATATGTACTCTTCAGACGTGTCAATGTCATGAAACACACACACACACACACACACACACACACACACAGACACAGACACAGGCTGAGGAGCTGTTTCAGATTAAAGGAGCTCAAAAAGATGACAGCAGAATGCAAAGCAGCGTTCAGATCGTTGAGGTTTGTCTGTTTGGTGTTTTACATCCTACATGTTCAGACTTAACAAGGATAGCTATTTTGTGGTCTCGAACGCCTGGGCTCAAGCGATCCTACCACCTCGGCCTTCCGAAGTGCTGGAGTTACAGGCGTGAGCCACTGCACCTGGCCAGGTCCCTTTCCGACTTAGACCTCCTTCTTCCTCTCATGAAGACCCTTGTGCTTACCTTGGACCCACTGAGACGACCTGGGAGAATTTTGCCATCTTAAGATGTTTCAGCGTATTTGCAAAGTCCTTTTGTCGTGAAAGGTGACATGTTTGCAGATCCTGAGGATTAGGGCGTGAGCATCTCTGGGAGGGTACCTGGCTCTGCCATTGACTGCCAGTGGGGCCTTGGGCAAGTCACTTTACAGCCCCGTGCCTCAGTTTCCCCATCTGTGAAGAGGGAATAATGATAGTCCTACCTCATTAGGTTGCTGAAAGGATCACTAAAGTGACATCTGTGAGGTCCTGGGGTAGGGCCTGGCTCTTGGTCAGCGCTGGGTGGAGGTTTGTGTTCATGTGGCTGTGGCAACAAGAGCTTCCAGGAAATGGCCAGGAGGAGTCGGGGCAGGGGACAGTGAAATATCTGCAGAGACAGGAAACCACCCGTATGATGGGTGATACATTTTCTGGGGCTTCCAAGACGTTGGCTTTGCTGTCCAGGGACCTGGGGCAGGGTTCCCAACACCAGGCTGGGGGCTGCTAACCCTGATTCCTAAAAGGCAAACGTGCAGCCCTGGAGGGGAAGCGGCCGGAGCCCTGGGGCTCGCAGGAGGCTCCTGGTGGAGGGCAGCCACCCTCGAGGAGACATCCTGCTCCATCCAGCCACGGCTCGGGTGGGGAGGTGGGGGCCCAGACGGGGTGCTATTTCCCTGGCTCCTGCCTCTGGTCTGCAGCTGTTTCCACACACCTACTGCAAATGCCCGGGCTGTGGGCAGTGGCTGTTTCTGGAGCCTCCCGCAGCCCTGGCCCATGTAGCTGAGTGACATGACCGCTTAGGCCAGTAGGCAGGAGAGCCGTCCATCTGTACGTCACTCCTTCTCGAGCCCGGCGCTGCCTGCACGCACACTCGCAACACGCCAGGCGCACCCTGGAGTGAGGGACAGGAGGGCAGGAAGGTGGCCTGAGCCACATGGCTGGCAAGGGGCTGGGATTCCACTGGTTTACAGAAAGAGGACTTGCATTGTCTGTCAGGGTTGTGTCCTCCCACGTCGCTGGGGGGTCCTTGCGGTCTACCCTCGGAATCCTGGAAATCGGAGCGAGCAAATCTGTCTGACTTTCAGCCGGGCTGTGTGCTGGGACTTCCCCAAGGCCAGGCTGCACCTCCTTGCTCAGCAGCGAAGGGCAGGGGGTGGGGAGCTGCCTGCTCCACATGGCCAAGTCCTTGGTGAAGCCTGCCTGGCACCTTGGGCCTGCCATACCTGTGTGCGCAGGATGTGTGCTTGTGTCTGCATGTGTGTGCACACAGACGTGTGAGCAGGCAGGTGTGTGCACATGTGTATTTGTGTGACACCTGGGTGCTTGCACACATCTGTGTGCACGCATGCCTGTGTGTGCCTGCGTGAATGCGCCCGTGCGCCCGTGTGTGTTGCATGTATAGGTGAGTGCATGTGTCTGTATACGTATATGGGTGTGTGTGCATGCTATTCGTGTACACACGTGTGCACGTCTCTGTGTGTATCTGTGTCTGTGTCTATATGAGTTTCATGTTACTCATCTGGACAATCAGGAGCAGTGGAGGTGGAGGCAAAGCCAGAAGTGGGAGAAGCAGATGTCCGGGGCCGGGGCCGGGGCCCGCCCCACCCCAACCCACGGTCTCTCAGCTCCGGGAAGGCCTCGAGACCTTGAGCTCAGCAAAGTCAAGGTCGGCAGAGCCAGGACGCGTCCCAGGACAATGCTGCCGGTGCCTTTGACCTTCTCTGACCATTATTTCCCAACTTCTCTCCACGGAGGGCATCTTGCCCATGTCTTCTGGTTTCAAGCCCATTCTAAAAGCCAGCTGTGTGTCCTCGTGGAAGCCGCATTTTCCAGTTAGCTCCCCACGGATGCATACTCACCCCAGGCCAGTGCTCCATGGGGCCCTTCCCTGCCGGCCAGCCTCCTTTCCCCAGGGTTCTGGGGGGCTTCTCTTAAAGGCTTGACAGGAATTCGAACGCCCTTCCATTTCCCCATCATTGGCTGCAAGCGAGGAACAAAGATAGGATTGTAGTGGCTTGTGGGAAAGGGATACAAATGAATGTATTTTTCCTTCCCTTATCCAAGCGGGGTTCCAGACCCACGGGCTGCCTGGGAAATCTGAAGCTGCCGGGAGGAGCTGGGGCAGGGGGCAGCGGTGGCCACGTCCACAGTGCCTCCCGGGCGTCCATTCTATCCTGCGTCGCCCACGCCTGGCCCATGTGCATGTGTGGGACACACTCAGCCTCTCTTACTCCCTTCCAGGTGCCAGCCTCCCTGACCCTCCTCCTCCAGGCCCCTCGCTGGCTCCAGCCGCCCTCCCTGGGTGCTTTCTGGATCCCCAGGTACCACTGCCTCCCATGCTGTCTCCAGCTGCCCCCTGCCTCCCGAGCTGCCACCTGGGGTGCCTCACAGGAGCCCCCAAACTGCCCTGAAGCCTGATCCCTCTCTGCTCTCATCTTGGCCGAGGGCATCGCCTGCCAGGCATTTGGGTCTAAGCCAGAAATCTGCATGTGGCCTGACAGCCCCTCTGCCCTCCACACCTGTGACCACCTCCTAGGAGTGGTTTCCTTAACACCTCACTACCCTTGGCACTGTCACCGTCGCCTGTGCCCTGGCAGGCCTCCTGCTTCCCAAAAAACTCCCCACTGCACTCCCCTGCCCCTCCCAGCCCTTCCCAAAAAGCACCTCTGGGCTGGGCGTGGGGGCTCAGGCCCGTAATCCCAGCACTTTAGGAGGCCAAGGCAGGTGGATCACTGCCAGCCTGGCCAACGTGGTGAAACCCCGTCTCTACTAGAAATACAAAAGTTAACTGGACATGGTGGTACGTACCTGTAATCCCAGCTACTCAGGAGGCTGCGGCAGGAGGATCGCTTGAACCCGGGAGGCAGAGGTTGCGGTGAGTGGAGATCGTGCCACTGCACTCTAGCCTGGGCAACGGAGCAAGACTCCATCTCTAAATAAATAAATAAATAAGTACACCCCTGAGCCTGCCACCCTGCCTAAAATGTTCTGGAGCCTTCCCGTGGCCGCAGGATGAAGCCCCCCGCATCACATGCCCCTGGCTCTCGGGGAACGAATAAAGACACTGAGCCCGCAGCCTACAGGTCCCCGGCCCCCACTCTGCCGAGGGTTCCGCACAGGAGCGCGTCCTGGCTGGCCCAGGCTTCCTGTGGTCACGGAATTCCAAGTCGTCCAAACACTTAGAGGAATCTTAGAGGACAGGAGGATGGCGTGTCAAGGATGACCACTGCCTCCCACGAGAGGAGGGGGGCACAGGGCTATCCCGGCTGGGACTTGGTCAGGGGCCAGGTTTGTTCTGGATGGGGGATGCAGAGGTGACCCCATCTCTTTCTCTGACTCCAGTACCACCAGGCCAGTGGTGAGTGCTCTGGCTCACGGTCTGGGCAGTAGGGGATGGGGGTCAGGAGAAGCCCCTCCCAGGCATAAGGCCCATTGCTTTCCAGGTGGAAGGGGTGGGGTGGGGAAGGCGTTGTCAGGGGAGGGAGCAGCAGGAATGTTCTAGCAGGGAGGACAGCCACACCAGACTGGAGCGATGACCGGAGCGCTGTTCTCTGTAAGGACTAGCTCATTCAGCCTCCACGCCGGTCCTATAGGACAGCGCCCGGGATCCCCATGCAGCCGGTGAGGAAACGGGCGGAGGGGCCACAGAGCTAGGACTGGGGGAGCTGGGGTTTGAACCACAGACTTGGCTCTGGGGGCTGGGCTCTTACGTGTCATGCAGTCCTGCCTCTGGGGCTGGGGGGAGGGGACTTGGGCGGGGAAGGGCGAGGTGGCACAACCTCAGGGTGCCAGGGCCAGCCTTAGTCTGCACTGCAGGGCGAGGCGGCGCAGGTGGCTGGGAGGGGAGGGCAGGGACCAAGGGAGAGTGAGCCCAGGACAGCTTAAGCTCCCAGTGAGTGCTGCAGCCTTTGCCCTGGAAGGATGGCCCACAGGGAGCTCTGGGGTCAAGAGGCCAGCAGGGCCCTGCGGGAGGGCGGGGGAGGGAGCTGAGCACTGCCGGGGCCTCTGTGAGCTCCCAGCCAGCTGATGGTCCCCTGTAACCCTCCTTGGAGCTGTGGGCTGGCACTTCAGGGGTCAATGTGATCTGTGACCCACTGCCAGGCTGGAAAGGGCCTGCTAAGTGGACCGCGGTGGCTGCAGGCTGCATCATCTGTGGGGCAGGAGGCCTTCGCAGGTGGCCCAAAGCCATGCCTCCCTGGAGGCCAGGCACTCAGACCCTCAGGCTGTGCCCAGCCGCCCTGCCAGAGCCGGCAGCCCCCCAGCATGCCGGCCACCTGCCCCTGCACCCGTCACACCCGGAAGAGCTGAGGATGCCACGGGCTCCTCCTGGAACTGCAGGGACTTCCTTGCAGTGAGTCCGGTCCTCCAAACTCCCGGCCCTGGCAGCCCCCACGACCGAGGGCTGAGTCCCCCAGGACAGGACGAAACTGCGGACTCATGGCCCCAGGCCTGGATGCCGTGGCCTGCACAGAGGAGATGGCCCGGTGTGGGTCGGGAGGGAGTTGCGGCTTCTGGCCCTGGCCAGCACTGACCACAGCGTGACCCTGGCCTGGCCTTTGGACTCTCAGTGCCATGTCACACAGACGCCGAGTGAGGAGGCCCTTTGGCTTAGTGGTTTTAGGGGATGGCTGTGCTCGTGGTAACACTGTAACCCAGCGCCCTGCTGCTCCCTGGTCTGCAGTGGGCCCCTGACCCAGCTGGACCCCACGGTGCCCTCTGCCTCAGGCCACCAGCCAGCAGCCGGCACGTGGGCAACCGCCCCCACTGCAGGGCCAGGTCAGCGGTGTGTGGCCCAAGGTGGCTGTGTCACGTCAGGACTGAGCGAGGACAAGCTCCTCCCGCCTGGCCCTTGTGCCCAGGGACCTGCCAGCTGCCGTCAGGTGGGTGGCTACCGCCATGGCGCTGGCCAGCGCAGGCCAGGCGCACAGAAAGCATTAACTACAAGATGAGGCGAGGTGCAAGTGGCTCACGCCTGTAATCCCAGCACTTTGGGAGGCTAAGGCCAGCAGATCGCTTGAGGTCAGGAGTTTGAGACCAGCCTGGCCAACATGCTGAAACCCCGTCTCTACCAAAAAGCCAAAAGACTAGCTGAGTGGGGCGGCACATGCCTGTAATCCCAGCTACACGGGAGGCTGAGGCAGTAGAATCGCTTGAACCCGGGAGGCAGAGGTTGCGGTGAGCTGAGATCACCCCACTGCACTCCAGCCTGGGTAACAGAGGGAGACTCTGTCTCAAAACAAACAAACAAAAAGCCATTAACTATAAGATGAGGGTCTGCGTTGGGTCTGGCTGGCTGTCGGTAGACCACGGCCCTGAGCCCGCCCTGCGGGGTGGAGAGTGTCAGGTCCCTGCCTG